CCCCCCCCCCCCCCCCCCCCCCCCCCCCCTCCCTTTGCGCATGCCCAGCCAGCCCGGTGATCTCCTTTCCTCATCAGGAAACATGCGGGGTTGGAACGGCGAACCCCCCTATCCATGCCTGTGGCCCCATCCAGCCAGGGCCTACAAACCCCCAAATGTTACAACAGCGCCGAAACACCCTTAGACCGCAGCGGCCAAGGCGGCGGCAAGCATCGCTACACCAGCGAGCACGAAGCCGCTGCCGGCGCCGGCGCCGCGGCCGTACATGGTCGCCGCCGCCCCCTCCTCCCCCGCGTCGTCGTCGGCAGCGCTCGAATCATCCCCCACCGCTGCCGCCACCACCGCGGAGCTTCCTTCGATAGGCGGGCTGATGGCTCCCGTCACGACCAGCGAGAAGCTGACCGTGTCTCCCACGGTGAAGTCTCGCCCGCGCACCCTCACCTCCCACTCGTCCGTGGCGGAGAATTGGGCCACCACTTCCGCGGGGACGATGACGCGCTCGTTGACGTTACTCGTGTCCCAGCAGTTATCGTCCCACATGCAGTATCTCGTCCCGTCGGGCGCGTACACTGCGTTGAGGAGGAGGAGAGAAAACCGTGGTGAGCGGAGGGACACTTTGGAAGCAAGGGGTTGTTGGTTTCCGCGCAATCGGGTATAACCAAAAGCACTCTGTGACGGTCCGTTGTTCGTTGTCCTTGCGAAACGGCATTTTTATTTTGTGGGGGAGAATTCCGAAATAAACAAGGGGCGGGAGGGACACTTTGGAAGCAAGGGGTTGCTGGGTTCTGCGTAGTCGAGTATACCCACAAAACACTAACGCTCCGCTGTTTGTTGTCCTTTCGACCCGGAAACGACGGCGTCGCAAACATCAGAGCGAGCCGAACGGCATCCCCCCTCAACAACAACAACGGCACTTAGGGAGGGCACCGACCGCACGGCAAAAAAAAAAATAATCGGCAGCGATGACAACGGCAACGGCAATGGCAACACACAACTTCTTCCGACCCCTGCGATAGCCGTCGGTCAGTTACCTCGAAGGTCAAGGTCGTTGACCAGCTGGTCGCCGGACAGGGACGACGCCGCGGGGTCGCTCCAAGAGAGCGTGGCCCTGAGCTCCAGCCCGGCGTCGGGATCGACGTTGAAGTTGAACTTGAGCTTGCCGTTCGAGGAAACCTCGTGGTCGGAGGAGTCCGCGACGAAGAGGACCATGTCGCCGGCCCCGCCGAGAGGCATCCCGGCCTCGAGGTGGATCCTCCCGAAGCCGCGCTCGCTGTCGGGCTCGTTGCCTCCTCCCATGACGTTCGCGCTGTTGATCAGCATCGCCTGTGTTTGATGATAGGGGTACAATGGAATGGAAGCGAACAAAGCATACAGGTTGGAAAATAATGGCCGTTGTACGGCAGGGAACGACAAAACAAGTTGTACCGAGTCCAGTCTTGCGCCGGCAATAAGACTCTGCAGGTTTGCAATATTTCCTTTTTGGTTCATGGAGGTTCGCTGTGCTCTTCGAATGAAAAACACGTCAGCTGTTGTGAGCTGTTTGGGAAACGTCTCTCATGGCAGCTGGCAACTGATTCACACCAACCCATGCTTGACTTTCATCTTGCATCACGCCTTGATGACACCACTCTGGTACTGCTTTAGTCTGATGAGCCCGCTTCCGGAGGCGCGCCTTGCACACGGTTTATACATACGGCCGAACCCTTTTTGTCACACTCCACTTGCAGTATCTTATCGCCGTGGGGCAGAGGAAAAGGAGCGATCAATGTACAATGATTGAGAGTGAGCGAATGCAGGGCCAAAGACAACAAGCAGGCAGTTCTTGTACTAAGCGGGTACAACCGGAAGCACCCAAACACTGGCTGGCCTCGTTCTTGAAACACATGTTTCACGTCTACTGTATTGATACCTTCACCGTCGTCGCCATGGGTGAGAAGCTATCGCACGTGAATCCCTGGTCACAGAAACCCCTGCTCTCGACATCGGCACCGTAGAAGCTTGAGTCCCTGAAGTACTGCCGGACCTGCACAGATTGAGGAAGCGCGACAAGTGCTTGTAATGTTACGCAAGATATGTAAGGATTGGATAGAGTCCGGAGAGGCTTGGAAAGTGATGCGTTCGGCGTTAGGGTGGCGACATCGGGCCTCGAGAGACACTATGCCACGCAGTGCAGCCATGTCCTCGCAAAACTTGCGTGGTGCCAAAGCTCCGGGGCGATGGCATGAGCAGTGGAAGTCTCTCCCTCTCATGGCACCTACTACTCTGCCAGTGCTTCGGTTCAGTTGAGCGTTCAGCTGTGACAGACATACATAGGCACACACGATGGACGGGGAAGCGGTTGTTCGAAGTCAAGCCGGCTGCTAGATGCCCAGACCCTCACCCTCATCGCTGCGGCGACGAAGAGGACATGCTGCTCGTCGTGCATTTCGCTGGACACCCCTTGCCCAGAAAATCCGAAAAAAAAAATACACTCACGCACACGTTAGCTACGTTCCTTGTGCCATACAAAGAAATCGCCTCCTCTGAGAGGCGGCAGGATATGTACAAGGACGCATATCCTGCAAGATCGGCCAAAAAAAAAAAAAAAAGAGCCTCACCATTGCCGCCGCCCCCGAAGCCACCGCCGTCGAAAATGAAGTACCGGCATACGCGATTAGCTCGCATGACGAGTTGCCACCGTTCCCGCTGGCAGAGTAGATCTGCACGCATGTACCATTTCCAAGAGCGGGACAAGGACCGCGCGTTCGCGGGACGGATCGGGGGATGAAATTTCTGTTCCAGGCACCGCGCCAACAGCCGGTGATTCGGGAGGAAAAATCGACGAGTGCTTGTTGCGTCGAAACAACATGTGAAGTGAGGCCTGACTGCTGGGGTTACGGGGTAGGGTCAGGCGTAATAAACTCAGGCCGGATAAACCAACGTTCCGCGAGGCATGGCAGGGGGATAATAACACTCAACATTCCAACAATGTGCATGGGGAAACACTTTTCAGCACATCAAAAAAAGCACAATCGCCTATATCTTGAATATTGGGACATACATTTCAGCACAACACAAAAACGTCATGGAGTGGGACATGCACACCTTGCAGCACAAAAAAACACCATATATTCTCATCTGGTCCGCGACGCTGGTTAACAATGCACCCCCCCCACGCATTTTACGTATCAACATGCTTACCATGTCTCCGGGAGCCACGACCTCGGGCTTAATTCGTCCGTCTTCGGTGAACCCGTAGCCCGAGAACTCGGACACGACGTCGATGGTGCTGAGCTCGTCACCGTCCGCGTACCCCCTCCCGTCCAGGTCGGTGGTGCTCAGTCGCGTCACCCCCGACGAAGTTGAGCCGACCGTGAGAACGTTCTGCCGCGGCGAAGGGGGGGGGGGG